GTGCGATGGTTGTGTACAAGGGCCTCTCCCCGATGAATACCACCGTCATATAAGAAAAGCTGTTTCCTTCTCTAAACAACTTAGGATTGTGGACTTACTAATGGAACATTAATGGAAAAGTTTACAAGAATTTCTGCAGTCTCACCTCATTTTACGGAGCCTTTCAGCCGAGCGCAGGCTATAACTTAACCCTTAGTGTTAAATCAACTGCCAAGAGCTTCGGCAAAAACTGTTAAGACGAGACAGGGACTAGAACCCAAACACTACGACGTGATGTAGTGGCCACTTACAGATCCCAAACACATCATTCAAAAGTGAAAGTGTTTCCAATTTTGAAGAATTAATCCGTTTGAATGAGCAAATATTTTACATCCTCGTAGATAAATCTCTGCTCCTCCGACTTCAGACGGCGCATTTATCTTTCTCTGTTGAGCCTCTCACAACTTTGCAAGATAATAATTACAACAATCCAAAACGGTATATTCTTCTGAAATTCACCAACTGCTGATCGCACATTTCTGCCGCTTCCCACCTCATCCAGAGTGAAGAGTTGATCCTCCATTAAGAAGGATCAACCGGATGACAACAGTGTAGAAATGAGTGTGGATTAGGGAGCTATTCTTTGGCCTGCTTTATCATGTCTTGCATTGCGAAATCCTCTCAGTTCACTCACACGCCATACTTCAAGGGATAAAGGCACACAAAACAAACTACCATTGTGAAGTAGTGTGTGTCCATATGTGTGTCTTTACGGTATTTTACGCCTGAATGCAGTGCACAACAACACACATACATTCACATATGGACTAAAATTCTCATTAAAATCCCATTTTATAACCATAAATGAAACCATAAAATAATCAGAATTATAATCGTAGCTTAACACAATTTTCCCTTTTCTTTATGGCTTTTGTGCTTTATATATTATAGCTCAGTCTATCTTTGTTTGGGTAAAAAAAAAAAATCAAATTTCTTGAAAGACTGAACAACAGATGATGGACAGTTTTGTCTTTTACTCATACTTTAGTGAAGTGCTCATACTCCTAATTGGACAAAGGGACCACTTGCTGGGCTGTTGTTGGTCTTTGCTCCTGATTTTTAAAGAACTTGGCAGCTGTTCTGGGAACTTTGCCACAATCGGCTTAAGCTATCTTCCAAAAAACAGTTTCCCAATTAATTTACAATGAAAAGTAGACAATGTTCTGATGGTAGTGCTTGTTGATCACTGTCATAATCACTCTCTGATCTGAGACTAGTCATTTTTAGAATTTGTTCTTGAAGTGCTTCTGTCACTAACAGATTAAGAAACAGGAACATCCACTTTAAATCAGACTGGATACCTTAGTTGTTCATCTCTCTGCTTAATTTTGAGTAATCTTCCTACTGTTATTTAATGACAGGATAAAGTTTTGCTTATTTCTTGATGGTGTCTGGAACTTGTGAAATGTATAAATAGTTTATGGGACAAAACCCATATGCCCCTTTGCCCATATCTTTAAAATGACGCAAATATCAGTTGTCAAGTATCCATCACATGAGAGCACATTACATCAACTTACAACAACGTGCTGGAGACTTGCCCTAACACCAGCCACTACTTGCCAGATATAATGCAAATCCTAACCTTACTTAATCTTACTCAAACTGCAAACTGAATCTTAAACCTAGTATGCAATAATGTACATTATGTGGACTTGTTTTTTGTTTCCAAATTTGGCTTGTTTTTATTAACTGGAAAGAATAAACAATAGTTTTGACAGAAGGTGGTGTCATAGGCTCTGGTCAGCATGACTCTAATAAACAGAGTACAAGAAGCAGACAACACACCCGGTTGTTTGCCAAATGCGAACAAAAAAACCTCGACGAACAAGAGGAAAACAACAAAACTTTGGTCATTTGCAAGAGAAACATGGACAGAAGTCTTCAAATTTGGAATTAATCTTTATCTCTGCTGGTGTTGACAGTGTTTCATGCTGCACTGAGGCAAAGACAACAACAGAAGTGCAAACAGCTGATCACACTTGTAAGTTAAATGTTTTGTAAATCAAAATTGTTTTTATAAAAAAGCGGGTTAACATCCCTTATTAACTCTTTTTCAGAGAGGTCAATTGGGAATGTTTTTTTTTTTTTTAATTGTTCAGTTTCTGTTAACAAAAAACATCATGGAAACACAACAGATTTATGGCCCCACAACATGAGTACTTCAAGTACACACAACCACACACACACACATCCAAATGACTTTAAACTTGACACTGCACTTTCTTGTGTGCCCACCAGTACACCCACCAAGCATGAAGTGGATTGAATAAACGGTTGTCGAGAAAGGTGAAGAACAGACACACAAACACACACAGATTCCGTCATTCATAATTAAGATGAAGTCTAAAAAAAACCTGCTGAGCTATGAAACAAAGTGAGACATTCAGGTTTACAGATTAATCTATGATGAGTCCAAACGTACATTTTTGTGTTTGGAAGAACAGGTTTGTACCAAAGTCTTGGATCATTAGTCGGTTCATTAGAAGAAGAGCTGCTGTGATTGGCTAAACTGCTGCTTCCCTTGACTCCAGCTGTTATCAGCAATGTTCAATCGTTATGAACGAAGCAGAGCAGATTTCACAGATTTATTGTTCTACTTCAAATGTGGCAGGTAGGTAGGTAGGATGTTCTAGAATCTAGATTCATGCCTTTCATGGTATCGACAATGAAAAGATACTGGTACTGCTGAGGATACTGCTTTGAAGGCATAACAGAAACCAGCTGTTGGGCCAAAATATGTGGAACGCTCATCCAAATGACTTCAAAGTCAACATTACACTTCCTCAGGTTCCTCGCAATACACCCGTCAAGTGTGAAGCAGATCGGCTGCACAGTTGTCGTGAAAGGTGAAGAACAGACAGATACACACACAATGTTTATTATCACTCTCAGGAGAATGGGCAGGGATGAAATGGACATTGGACAGAGTGCAGTCTTTAATATCACAAACGCAGCACGTCACTAATGATTTTACGATTGTGTGTGTCTGCGTGAGTTATCCTGGGGAAGTGCACACCCTGACACCGAACCTCCCAACAGGGAGGGAGGATACTGGTTTCACCTGTTGACCTATAACCTAATCCTCTTAGGTAACTGTGACCCTTTCACATCTGCTGAGGATACACACCCAGAGTTGGAACAGCAAGAAGTTAAAAACCACCAAAGTACAATAACCAGTCATCCCATCTTGTTTTATGAGTGGGACCCACTCCACAGATCTCTTTTCTGGGTCCAACATGCCGGCTATGATCTCTGATGAATGTGACTAGTGTGCATACTTGGCTCTGACTCTTCCACAGCTTCTGCTAAAAGAAGTGTGGATTTGGACTGACTCAAGTCAGTGTTTACATGTAGCAGAGCGCCAAAGAAATCTATGTTTACTTCAAAATCAACTCCTCCATTCATCGCACAGTAATGTCTGGAAGACATGTGGCCAATAAGGCATCCCACCCTTTAGGATCTGCTGCCTGAACCAACAGTGGTGCTTTCTGTTTACCAGTGCTTCAAAGAAACCCAGAGGAACATGTATCAGCACAGGCTTTGACTGGACATGTAGGCCTGCCTATCACAGACTTAACAATAGGATTATCCCAGGGGCAGGACACGCATTCTTGTTTCTAATCAAATTCGTATGAATCACTTGCAGTTACTAAAAAAACCAAAGGCACGCAAGGTTGTTTATCTCTCCACCCTGCAATATTTTAATGTCCTCATTCTTTCTGTCAATGTTGCTCAAATCAAGACGGTGAGCTCACGCTTTCTTTCTCAGTCGCTCGTAAAACATGCACTATCAAGTGCTGTTGATCCATTTGTTCATATTTAATCAACCATTTACCAAAGCTTTTAGTTATGAGCCATTAATTACTGCAATTGGTTTCCTGCCCGTGTTGGTTTCTTTTCAGTAAACTTCAATCAATCAATCAATCAATCAATCAATCAATCAATCAATCAATCAATCAATCAATCGAACAAACAAACAAACAAGTAACAACAACAACATAAACTATATATGCACTAATTATTTTGTTGATGTGGCGGGCTGCAAGGTGGTGCAGTTGGTAGCACTGTTGCCTCGCAGCAAGAAGGTTGCTGGTTTGCGTCCCGGTGGGGGCACTGGGATCTTTCTGTGTGGAGTTTGCATGTTCTGCCCGGGTTCTCCGGCTTCCTCCCAGAGTCCAAAAACATGTTGAGGTTAATTGGTGATTCTAAATTGTCCGTAGGTGTGAATGTGAGTGTGCTTGGTTGTCTGTCTCTAAGTGTAGCCCTGTGATAGACTGGTGACCTGTCCAGGTGAACCTGCTTTCACCCTGAGTCAGCTGGGATAGACTCCAGCCCCCCATGACCCTAATGAGGATTAAGTGGTGTATAGATAATGGATGGACTTTGTTGATGTTTTTCATGTCACTGTAAATGCATTAATTCAAACTGTTTTCTCATGTATTACTCTGCTTTAGGCAAGTTTAGTTCTCTTTTACTCACTACTTTTTATTTACATAGTACTTTTATACTTTTCTTACATATAACATTTTATTTAGATTTTTTTTGTAGATTTAGATATATTTATTGTCTGTCTTGTTGGTGTTGTATACCACAGTTTCATTCACCATGTCAAATTCCTAGTGTGTGAACTCACTTGGCAATAAACGCTTTCTGCATTCTGTATTAAATATTCAAAGTTGTAATATTCTACTGATTGCAGTTTCTGTCATTGATTTTACTTTAGTCTATGTGTCTTTTAATGTTGAGCAAAAAAAAAATACAATAAATAAATAAACAAATAAACTATTTGCACACAGAGCTTTTCTTTTTGGCTAAACCTGAAGATGAGCAGTGACCGCTGGACAGTCAGTCCCTGTTGGCAGCGGTACAGATGCTGAGGGCCCCTCCCCTCCAGCGGCAGCAGCAGCAGCAGAGCGGGGAGTTCGCCGTCTGTCTGTCCCGGGGCGATCTGCCACAGACCAACCAGCCATCCAAAACACACACACACACACACACACACACACTAACGCACACACACACACTGAAGAGCCAAGAGTTCAAGAGCGCTTGTTTCCGTTTAACTAACATCGAGGGGAGTGGAAATAGCTGGGGGAAGAATTCATTTTATCCAACCGCTGTTCTTTTGGACGGAACGAAGTTGTGCAAGTGTCACTATTGGGCGGCTTTTCTTTGCGCATCGACAAACTTTTTGCGTGAGACGCTGCTGTTGGCATGTGAGGCGAGCGGAGTGCGCAAACAGGTGAGACGATTATATGGATCTGCTGTTTGTGTTAAAACTCTGTGGAGTTTAGATTTAGTATCCTTCTTTTTTTTTGCATTGTAATTAACTAATTAATGCAAATGGTCCAGATGTTTGGAAGTGGCTCCACATCTTTTTTTTAAGGGCAGAGAGCAACTCAATTTCTTTTTCTTTTAGTTTGTAAGTTTGGACTTTACTGTCTCAGGTATTTTTGATATTTTATATTTTAGCCAACAGCTCTGCACCTTAAAAAAAACCTTGTTCCTGCTCCTGTCAGCCAAACTTTTCGAAAAACTTTATTTGAAGCATAGCAACATGATAAGTTTGAGAAGTTTTTGAAAAGATTATGATGAAAGAGAATTTGATAAACCCCTATGGGAAGCATAATCCCCATTTTTTCCCCTTCGCTCTTCTCAGGAATTGTAGAAAAAAAAGAAATCATCATTCTGGGTATTCAACAGAGAGCAGTAATGTGTTTAAACAGTCATGGTAGAATGCCAGTGAATCTATTAATGTGAATTGTATGCATTTAAATCTATTCAAAGTTGTCATTTGATGCCTTTGCAGCCTTAAGTGAATGCATCAGTGTTTTATTTTTCTCCTCCATTGAGGTAAAGTAGGCTTCACAATGCACCTAACTGTATAAGAAGTTGGTTGAGAGGGTATCAAATATGCTTATTTTGGACACTATTTGTGTGTGGGAGCTCCAAATACTCCCAAACTGAACGTGACTAAGTGCACTTTACTTTTCTCTCCATCCAAAAGATTCACATGGTAGATATACGGCACATTATAGATGCTGCGGTGAACGTACTTGTTTTGCTTCTGGAGCTCACTTGATGTGTTTCAACGGTTCACCGAGCAACAGAAAAAAAATAAAACATAGTAGGCATCTCTGGCTGTATATGAAACCGTCTTAATGGCCCACTCTCCACTTACTCCTGAAGCTTTATCTACCTCCCTACAAGGAGCTGTGGGTTGAAGGGAGGGGTGGGGGGTGGTGGTGGTTGAAGGGAGGCAGCGAGAGGGAGACGCTTCAGTTGTGTGGATATTGATTTCTCTGGCAGTGTTTCAAGGCTTTCGATCAGCATGACTGAGGTAAATAAATGATTTCTGCTTCGGGCCACAGAAAGACAAGTCAGAAAATCTTGTCTGATTTTCTGCTTTAAACACTGTCCAAACATTGCGTCACCGGGATGGTGTCAGGCATACTTATTACAGCCTGCTGCATACACTGGGGATGGGGAAGGCTGAAGACTACTGCTGAAATCTTAGCTTTGATAGGGACCTTTTTTTTCTGTGAGAATTCTATTTGAAAATACTATGTGAGACTACTTGAGGGTCTTTGGTTGGGTATGATCTGTTGTTCACTATATCAATCAATTCATGCATTCGTGCTAACCCCGAGCCTCCCGTGTGCTTTAATTCTCCCCCGTTCTATGCAGCGTGTCTGGACTGATCCAACATTAATGTAAAAGAAAAAAAAAAAATCCCAGCATCAATATTCAGCTGTGTTTTGAATGGCCTACAGCACCATTCCTGAGCCGTGTGACAACATCATGCACTTCATGCCGAGGCTTTTTCCTGAGCGGTGATGAAAACTGAAAAAAACTGACAGAGCGGTTTCTCAAAACTCAGCAGATTCGGGGTGGAAAGTGTTATTAAAACATACTCGTAGCCGTGCTGCACACCCGCCTTACCTAATATGGTCTTGTTTCCATAATCCGTCAGTTCAGACAGACAAAAGCATCTAGGTCACCTTTAGCGCAGTGATGATGTTAGAATGTTTAGAGAGTCTACAACGGCTAGGTGCCAATGACATGCAGACAGACGGCCTGGCTGGGTTTCTCTGCCCCGGAGCTCTGTGGCCTCTCTGAATCTTCGGTCTGTAAATGAACTGGGGCCTGGCGTGGAGATAACCTCCTTAGCAAAAGCTTTACAGAGAACAATAGATTTGTTTCTTAAGTTTGTGGGGGGACAGTAATGCTCTTGAGAAGAGTTGTTGCATAGCATGCAGGGGTGTATCTCTGAATCCTCAGGCGATCCGGAGACAAGTGAGAGCACTTCTATCTGTCACTCACTTGTTTTCATGCCTTATTGCTCCCATCTGCCTGCCTCAGGATGGTATTAGCTTTCACCCACACATGCGTGCAGACACTCAGAGTTGCATGCCCAGGTCACGCTTTGTTCAGTATGTGTAGAGTTACTTGTCTTGTTGTCAATTATCAACAAACCTGCCAGCATGTTTCTCTGTATGGCACTGTCTCACTTACATGGTGTGTCCTCCGTTCTGAATACCCCACAACTTTGGTTCCACTTTGTGTTTTTCCATCTTCTCCATTGAGGAGTTAAACCACAGATCGAGTATCGCTTCTCGCCCCCCTTTTCCATTAACCCTTTTGTGTGACAGCAGACCTCTGCTGGCTCTGTCCCAGTTGCATTTGGTTTTCCATTGACAGAAAGATTAAACCGCAACATTAAACATAAAGTGAGTCTTTAATAAAAGGGTGCGCACGCATTATTATCTGGCTTTGGCGTATTTGGTTACCATACCAGAAGTTTCCCGCAGTATTCTCTTACCAGTGTTTTGAGATAGCAGCTTAGGGACGGACGTAATGTGGACAGACAGGACCCCAGGGCTGGAATTATATCCATCTTCTTTAGTTTTCCCCATAGACAAACTCTTTACTTCCACAACGGAAGGATTTCCATTGGAATGTCCTCTCGTCTGGGCTTCACCATTCAGTGATTTCATGCATAGTGGTTTCAGGCAGCGTGCAATGACATGTGATGTTTGTTTTTTTTTTTATGTGGTGCTTTTCATGTGTTTTTGTGGCGCGAAATATGCCTTGAAAGATTTGCTTTAAGAAATCCTCAGTTAAACTCTTTTGACAAGTGGTAGTGGAGTTAGCAGTCTACTGTTGTAGCCGTGTTGAGAAATCAGACATTTAATGATTTATACAAGGTAAATGGCTGCAGGAAATACAGGCTTTCCTAGTGGCAAGGGATCAAATAATCCCCGTGCTGGTCCATGGAGAGGTATTAAATATCCTTACCTAACATGTTTTGTACTCTACATTCATTCATTATTTAGGGCTAATTTACGACAGTGTTCTCAACTTCAAAGCCCATCTCTGTCTCCATCGCCATGTTTGGATGATTAAATTTTGTGTGCGAGGAGATATTTTGGCAATTTGTTTTGCATTCAATTTTTTGGAGTGATGTGTAATTTCCCAAAAGACATGCATGCTGTGCTGATAGATACTGTGTTTCACTCAGATAAGGTGCTCTAATGTTTGTGGTTAAAATCTAAAATGAATCACAGCTTGCGGCCTTGATGTTTACTTTATGACCTGAGTATGAAAAATGTAGGGAGGGAGAAAAACAAGTTGTACTAATAAATTTGCCAACAAACTTCAGTTCAGGAGTTACGTGGGTTTGGGCTTTTTTGCTCTCAGTCCAGAATAATCTTATTTTACCACAAGGATCACATGTTTCATATTTACTTGTTCTCTGTCAACGGTTAATTCCCAGCATGCAGTTAAACACACGGAGATCTGCAGCGAGCATGTTTGGCATTAAGGAGGACAAAATGGTTTGGATGGGACTTCGAAGGCGTTGATGTTTGACCCTTCAGATCCGTTTTATTGACAGCCTTTGGACACAGAGATGGCCGTGCTATTTTAAGTTGTTCCCAAAGTCTTTTAACTTGCTGTTAAAAGTGAAATAAATGACCCTTTCTCCAAAATATATGGTATTATTTCAGTGCCAGGACATAAAGAGCAAGTGCAAGAGTGGTGCTTCACTGTACTGGAACAATGTTTCCTTCTTTACTACCGTCGAGTGTTATGGCTCGGAGACCGACTTTAAAATTTAATGCTTCTTGTATACGCTTTATAGTTTTTGTTTAGTGAAAGCACAAACAGTGTGGCCCGGTGGCGGTCCTGTATTTTCCCTATGAGAAATGGACTCACACAGACTCTCGGGGGAGTTACATGCTTGCCTAAATGCGCGGCTAAAAAAAGATGATTGACTTTTGCCAAGAAAAACAACTAATGTCTTGAGAGCTAGAAACAATTACCTATGTTGTTCTGCCAGGTCAGTGCCTGTGGTCAGGGAATAAAGACAAATAGCCGTGCTAATGCACTCTGTCCTGTGGAGATGGTGGGGTCTGATAATAGTGTACTCTACAGGGCACCTGGGTGTTGCTAAATGCCTCATTAGGGGTGGTCTCGATGCAAGAATGCCCATAGCCGGAGCACTTCTTCACCATCTGCTCCTTTCTCATGACTGCTTGGAACTTCTACTGGGAATATTGCGTCGTGCGCTTAAAGTTCAGCTACTTTATTATTTTTACATACTGTAGCGTCTCAGCTTTTCTGCAACAGTGTTAATTAGCGGCGGCTAATGAGTTGGTGTTTTATGGCATGTATACAGTTTATTTCCTTGATGTTGAGCCCAAACTGGAAATGTTTCATGCAGTGACACTTAGAAGATGCTATACGTTGCGGTGAGATCAGAGGGCAGCAGCACTTGGCTGCCTGCATTAAATCTGTCACCATCTCCATCAGGATTGTTTCCCATCACCCCCTGCACCGTGTGCCGACCACGCTGCCAAAGACAACAGGGACTTCAGCCGCCAGGAAGCAGGGGTGTTAGCTTAACCCACATGGCACAAGCTGTCTGTTCCTCCTCATTCTCACCTCTCATTTGTTCTTTTTCCGCCATCTTTTTGTTTTTATCTCTATTGTTCACACTTTGTAACGTATCGACTGACTGATAGCCTACAGTAGTGTGAGTTACTGTCCCTGCTGCAGTGCCTGTCCTATTGTCATCCTTCTCTCAGCAGATGGAGAGTTTTTAATGCTGCCCTTCTAACACTTGGGCTCCCTCCTTTGTTTGGGAGGCATTCTTCTAGACGGGTGCAGCACAAGCCTGCACTGCTGAGAGATGTGGGCACTCAAGCCGTGAAAAGAGATACATTACTCAAACGCTTCTCACTCGGGTGAAATCGTGTCACTGCTCCCCTGAACACACTGTGGAGAGGATAAGCCCCGCCATCAGCACTATCGCCGTCGCTCAGAAAGTGCAAAGACTGCACGGACTTAAACCCCTCTCACTTTCTCGCGCTCTCGCACCGATTGCCCATCCATCTCACGGGGCGCCATATCTGTATTTCTAACCCTGGAGGTGCGAAGGTGCCTCAATTTGTCATCTTAAATAAACAGCAGTCTGTTTATCAGGGTCTAATCCTCTTCAGTTTAAAGCTACGGGGCACTTGGACGGGTGCCACTCTGCCCTGATTCTCCTCTATGAAGTCAAGCTTTAAACATGAGATTACAAAACTGGACAGAGAAAATAAATGAACTGAAATGAGTTGTAGCTTTAGAGCTTATGCCTGTCTGCTAACATGCCTCTTCACATTTTATCATACGCTGGAAATCTGTGTGCAGAGGTGTGAATGAATATAATTGCCTCGTAGACAATACAGTTGTCCCAAAGTGTGTGTTCTCCTATGCTCGGGTTCAGTATGTGAGATATGTGAGTGTGTGTGCTCTATCTACGTCTGATCTATTAATTCAGCTCGACATTGTTTATGTGTTACGTGACAGGCTGATGTGTGTTATTTGAGATGGGGGTGGAAGGAAAGTAATGAGGGTGGCAATAAGGTCTGAGGGGGAGGCATTCTTTTGATGCGTTCACTAATTTCTTCATCAGTTGTCTGGTTAATTAGTAGCTTAATGGCGGCGGAATTTGCAGGGACGTAGATTTTTAAAAAATTGCCGGTGATACTTGGGTCTTGGAAAGGTGATGCGCTACATACAGAAACATTCTAATTAAGTGTAACGACAACATTAAGTTATGACGCATTCCAACGAAGAACTTGGTGTGATGCCCTACTTTCCTCGAGGTTGGACTGAAATAATACGAAAATGCACGCAATTGTGCTTGAGTTGATTAAAGAAAATAAACAGAATCCAGGTTCACTGATACCTAAATACCTCAAACTGAACTGCATAAAACACTGGCATCATTTAGATTTATTCAGGAACTACTTAGCTATTATTTAATGATTAGTTTCTCATTTGTGTTTCCTTGTTTTATCCTCAAGTCTTATCAAAGGAAAAAAAAAACAAGCTCATGCTGTCAGTTGAACGCCCTTCATAACATGCTGTACAGAGCTCTAATCCACACGTTTATTTAAAGGAGCAACTGGATGTTTGTCAGGTCGAAATAACGTGGACCGAAATGCCACATTTTAATAGTGTTTATGTCATTCTGCTACCATCATATCACCATGTTCAATTACAGGGCACAGTGCTCAAGCTGTCCGTGCTTATTTGTGACAGAACAGCCAGTGTTCCCATAAAGCTTGACTCAGCTCACTTTACAAAGTATGAACTAATGTCTGTGCTTCAGGCTTCATTAATCCGCTGTGAGGTACTAAACAGGACATCGTCCATTTTTTACGGCGTATAAAGCAGGAAGTGACAGGGTCATCAGCCAACGCCGAAACTATTGGCAAGTATCTTTTATGCGCAGACTTAAACGAGTTCTCTGTGTGAAAAGGAGATGGAGGCGAGAGAGAAACTGAAAGAGGCTGATAGATAGTGGACTGTTTTGTTAGTCTGACCTTTGTTGGGGGCAAACAGATTTAAAGGCGACACAAAAGGAAAGTCGGTGACAGGCAACAGCTGATGTGGGATGGGCAAAGGACGGGGGACATGCCTGCGGGGCTCCATGGTGAAACAGCTGAACGGTCACAACAGAAACGTGTGCACAAGTTAGATGAGATCGCTCGCACACACACTTATGATTGCTCCTCCCTAGCTTGACTCTTTATGCCGGTCTCCCTCCAGGGCTCTGCAGCACAGGACGGAGTGAAAACAGAGCAAGGAGACTCCACACACACCATGAAGAAAGAAGACTCTAGTAATCAGAGTTTGAATAAAGTTGGGGCTCTGTTCTGCCTGTCTGGCAGTAATTATGGCGGCAAAGGGAAGAGGATTATGGTAATATCCCATCCAGGGGTCCCATTAGTGGGATTGATTTTGTTGGCCACCCTCCCTTTTGGATCATGCATCAAACAGAGCGTCCCCCGGGTCAAACTCAGCCACAGAGGTAAGAATTGAATATTTGTTGATTTGTGTGCTAATTTTGTTGTTATAACAGATTTAACTTCAGATTTTATACTTTCCATACTGTTTTGTGTCCAGAGCAGTCTGAGCAATATGGTCAATCTGTGGTCAGATGACTGTTGACTCACACCTATGATTCCCTGGAATTTTTCGTCATTTTTTCTGTCCCGTCAGTGTTTTAGTCATCCACTGTGCATCCTGCAAAGTTTTTATATCTCATTGTAATATTTTTTCCCCCCATGTGTCTCATTTTTCTTGTGACTTTTTGTATACAGGCAATAGAAACAGTGAAAGAGAGTTTAGAGCCGTCAGCCGCACTATTAAGATAAATTGTCTTTGAAATGTCTCAGTGAAACAGGACAAAAGATTTAAGGCTCCCTTACTGATCCATTAGCCAGCTTCATAACTCTTTGTGTGTCACTTTTGTTACTTTCTGGTCACTTTTTGCACAACTCAAACACAAACTTTAATCCACTCATCACATAAATCCTTTTTAAACTAACTTCCAGCCAGGCTTGCATTTTAAATATTTATGACGGTGATGACAAAATGCAAATGTTTAAATTTGATTAAATGCGTCGTTTTAGCAGTCTTGTCACATATGTCACAACCTCCAATAAATGTTAATGCTTCTGATCCATAGGAGATTGTCCTTAAATCTGCTGTGTGTATATTATCCGGCCCCAGCAACACGAACGGTGTCCATGTGTTTAGTTTTGCATTAGCCGAGTCTGTTTGCTTTGTGCCACAAGAGGAAAGCTAAATTATTGCACCCCTTAAAACCTATTCTAAACTCCACTGCAAACTTTACTTCAAAGTCTCCATCCCTCATGCTATGCATCAGCTGTAAGGAACCACACAAATGAACTTCAGTCTTGCTCCATAAAATTGAATCCCCACTGTGACCTAAAAGTAAACTCACTCTGACTTCAACCTCCAAAAGCTCCCTTTTGGTCAAAGCTTCCAAAAAACCAGAATGGCTGGAAATAGACACACATGTGTGTCGTAAGTGTCCAACATAAATATATGCAAGTAGCTGCAGAATAATGATTACTAGGGACTTTGTTTACTCAGCAGTTAGGCCAGTATTTCGCTCTACAGCTTGTCTCATTTTATGTTTGTTCCAAACCAACTAGTCGATAAAATAAAGCCGTTCGTTATCGTGGCATTTCAATGGGGCCGTATATCAGAGACAACTTTTTTGATTCTCTGTCAGGGTGTGTCTCTTGGCTTTGACTATGCCGAACAAACTTAACAGTTCATTCAAGAGAATGGTCATCTGACTATGAAGTGGTTTCCTTTGGACCTCTGAGTACCAACAGTAGAGTAATGTCCATGTTTGGCTCTTATTCAGAATGACTGAGGCCAAGAAGAATCCATCAAAAGCCAAACCTCAACCCAGTGCACACATCATGCACACATCTTGTCATCATCTCATCAGTGCACACTGTTTAAAAGCAACACCACCCAGCAGTGATCACTCTTCAAACATCACATCACCCCCCCTGTGAAAGCACAGCTTCAGTGAGTGAAGGGTGAAGTGATCAAAGTGAAATCATCCCTGATTGAATGAACACCTCCAAAACAACTGCAAACTCATGAACTTTCCTCTGAAAATCACATCTTGGGAGCGTAAGCTTCATCCAGACCCACAATTTAGACCACGTGGCCGTCTGCCAAGGAAAAGTTAAATCATCTGTTCATAATATACAGAGATGTAACTATTTTTGAGCGCCGCCTCAGTCGGATTATTGTTATGCCTTTGGTCTTGATATGTGACCGAAAGAATTGGAAAAGACAGCTTTCCCTTCCTTCATGTAGCGAACACATTTGCTCAGTAGCAATAAATCAAAACACATGGCGCTGAATTCGATGTGGCTTTTCTCGAGCTCGTCTTGATTAACTTGTATTCAGCATCACTGTTTGACCCAACATTTGATACTGGCTGTCGCGCTACTCTGTATATTCTGAAGCCACGGACAGAACATCCTATTGTGCATATTAATGACAGAGAATGTGATGGTAAGCAGCAGCCTCATTTCAGCTGGCCTGAATACAGAATACAGGAGGTGACTCCTAATGAATGTTGTTCTACTTCATGTTAAAATGTGACTCTTGCCCTCGCGCATATGGCTGATAAAACACTGTCTGCTGCACTAAAATAGTCAGAGAACTTCAAGTTTAGTTTTTTAAGCAGAGCACAAAGCCATTGGCTCTAAATCATCTTGGTGATGTCTTACTCAAATAATTGTTTATATGGGAGCACCTCCAAGCTCCAGCAGACGAGCTAATCAGGAGCTTTTCAGCATGTCGAGGACTCTCCTCTAAGAAGAAAGGTGTGGAGCTCTATGCTAAGCGGCAACAGAGAAGCAGACTGTTTCAATGGGCTCATAGTGCTGTGTGTTTACAGAACAGATTACCGCTAGCCAACGGCTAGCAGGCCTAATCTCTCTGGGAGGTTTAGTCTGCTGGGGGCATGATGTGTGTGTAGGAGTGAGAGATATCAGCATGTGGGGGCTCTATGTGTGTGAGCTGGTGTATAGGAGGAGGTATTATGCAGGACTGCGTGGTGTGGAGGGGTCCCAGAAGTTCAAATATTGAAGGTTGGTAACCTCTCTAATCCTTCACACCAAGAGGGTAATCACAATGTCAATCCTTTCAGAGTGACTCCCACAGGACTCCCCTGCACTGAGCCAGTGTTTATTCAAGGCACGCTGCTATACTGGTGCACTGAAAAGAGGCTGGTGATAGAAGAGATTTCCTCAGATCAAGGAGATCAAGGACATAATATTGGGCTGAGAATGTAGCCAGTATTCAGCTCCCAGAAAACTTTATTTACCAGTGACGCTGGACTCCGGGAGTCCAGCTAACTGAAACAACCTACAGCATGCATTTGATCTCTTTATATGCAGTGCGTGTAAAGTGGTCAGCGGCAACGTACACCATCATGTAATAGATGAGCAACAGGTATTCCACCGGCTGTCATCAGGATCTAATCTCATACAGCCCATGGCAGCCACACAGCTCACGTTTATGATAATGTTCAGTCATCCGCAAATGAGGTCCTGTCAGGCAAGTATGGGTAGAGTGAAAGGCAGTTTTAGAATGAACAAATCCCTCATTTAAACAGCTGTTTTGGAACAGAGCGATCTCTTCACGGATAAAGAAATACCAAGAGAAAATACCCCGATAAAGATATCTGATAGTGCACCTACTGAGGTAATGTTCTGTCCAAACTTCTGCAACTGTATCTCTTCTCTATCAGCATGTGCAACCAAGGTGTTGAACCTGAGAGTATTAGGCAATTTTAAGACAAGCCAAGACACATCTTCCTCTGTAAGAGTCAACCCAGTGCTTGTTTTTGGGATTAAACTGGACTTAAACTACAGAGAATAAGTTAAGCCTGACAGCGTAATCCTGCGCTAGTCTGCTTTCCAGTGTGCTGTAATTTGACACTAGATGATGCATTTGTAAATGTAAGCTGTGCTTTCATGTCTATGCAGAGATTTGCTCATCTCTTTGTTTTTCTGTCTCTCTCTGACTCCGTGCCAGAACTGCTGCAGGCTGGCAGTGTATCTTTGTTTCTCGGCCCCTCCGACGGCCTTCACTCCCACTCTCTGCTGTTGGATGAGGAGAGAGGTCGTCTTCTGCTGGGAGCCAGGGATCACATCTACCTGCTTGACCCTGACAATCTGGCCAAAGCGCCCAGAAAGGTATGCTAAAGATAGGAATGTGTAAATTATAAATAGACAGATAAGAATGATTCAAACTCAGACTTGAGGAAGGAAATGGAAGCCAAGAATGAACTGAGTGTAATAGCTGCACGGTTCGTATCTGTTCAGGCTGTTTGCCGTGCTTGAAAGGTTGTTTAGGTAGACTTCAATGTGTTTACAGCAGCTTTAGGAGTCCCTGCACCCTTTGACAGAGGGATAGCGCTGGAGGAAATTCAAGTTGGAGTCCTCCATACACATTAAGCCACCTAATCCCCGGACTCGCAAATTCATGCTCGGAGCAACCCATTACAGAACGCACAGTCATTTAGCTTCAGCCCGTGACACTTATATCTTCTTGCCATTAGCTGGGTTGATGTAAGGTATTTTTTTTTCCATTACTGTGTTGCTGAAACGCACTCAGCCATGTAGTGTTTTAGAAGAGCGCTTACCTTTCAGTCAGCAGCAGTCTGAAGCTGTCTGTCTGGAAAGGTCAGGGTCAGCATGTTGGAGGGCACACTGACATACAACTGCATACCTAAAGCGCACACACACACATTTGCGGGGGTATGCACACTCGCCGTTACACATTTACGCAAACACACAAATGCATTTGGATGGGTGCCATATGTTAAAGTTTGTAGATGTGAGTGTGTGTTTATGCAGCTGAGGTTGATCCGCAAGTGGGAAGACAGTGTGTTTATTTGATCTTTATCTGGTTGTTTTAACTCTTAGTCGTGCTCTCAAAGTGTTGCCTTTCTGTTGCCCCTCGGGTCATCGATACTGATGCCAGGGAGATATCCGGCAAAAGTGTAATTCTCTGAGCCTTTTGGGACCGGCCTTGACAGTTAATATGATCTACGAATACAAACTTAGTGTTCATCAGTTAATGAAGACGCATACCTGGAATGGGACCGGCAGCCCTTAAAACAAAAATGATTCTCACAAGCTTTCCAGGTGTTTCTACCTTGATTTTCAGAAGATAGCTCCTGCGTGGTAAACTTTTTACCGCTGTCTTTAAACATCCCCGTGTTCCACGTTAAACTAGGTCACTCATCGTGTCAAATTATGTGCTTCGAAGCCAGTTTAAGCCCTTACATAGGCACACTGTACTTAGCTAACGCATCGTGTTCTAACACTGTTTTTCTGTTTGAAATCCTCGACCATTAAGTTTGGCGATAGCTCTCCTTGGTAGGGTTTAAAGGAGGGAACACGCTAAGCACATAAGCCTGTTATAACACATGTATGAACATGGTGCGGTACTTTAAAGGCATGACTTGGTGTTCAATTGATCTTCCGTACCAGCACCTGGAGGTGGTCATTACTGTGTAGCCGACGTCGGGTATTTGGAAACAGATAGAGGTGAATAGCAAAAACTTTGCCTGTTCTTATTCATTTGAATTCATACTTGAAGCACTTTTCAATTTTATGCTCAAATGAAGGTAAAATGCAGAATGGAAAACTAAATACAAAGCATAGAATTACAAAAAAACCCAAAACAAAACAGGGAGATAAAACAAAACCATGTGTCAGTTCAATTTATAACATAAAGAACAGACCTCCCTGCTGTGTAACTGACTATAGTTTGATTCCAACTGAGGACCATTGTTGCATGTTGTACCCCCTTGGTCTTTGTTTCTCTATCTGCACCGGCTAAGAAGACGAAAAAAAAACCCCAAAACCCAAAAAACAACTGTCTGCCTTAAAGCTGTCTGGCAGCCTGTTCCATAGTTAAGGGATCTTGTTTTTAGCCTTAAAAAGCCAATAAAAAGGATTCAGAAAAGATCTTAGGGTGCACTTAGGCTCCTGTCAGGTTGGGGGTCAAGAGGTGACTTCGTACCTTTTAACAAGATCCATAAAATTCTCCTCTATAATAGTGCTGAGAAACTAAAGCAGGAGTATTATGAACGTTTCTGTCAGATCTTGTTTGGTCTGGCTGACAGCAGCTTGAACGCACTGGAATGTGTATGATAATGATTAATCAAACATATAGAGCACAGCAAATAGAAGTGTCCACGTTCTTAATAGATAAGGGTTCTTTACTTAAAAATGTGAATTATGGCATATAAATGGGAAACAACTGCAAGAGGACTGATTTTATGAGATGTTATTAATACATTTATCTGTTTAGATTCACTGGCCTGCTCCGAGGGACAGGGTTGAAATGTGCAAACTGGCTGGCAAAAATGCAAATGTAAGTGTGTCTAAGAAAGAAAAAAACACTTCTTCTCTCGATGTAGTTTATCTGCGCACCACGTGTATGTAGCCCGGGCTGTCCACTGCAGTTCATCCTTGTTCTTTTTCTGTCCCTGCTTGTCCCAGTTGGAATGTGCTAACTTTATCAGGGTCCTTCACAATTACAACCGAACACATGCCTATGCCTGTGGGACGGGAGCCTTCAGCCCCACCTGTGCTTTTGTTGAAATCACCGGCCACAGAGAGGTAAAGTAGATACGAGCAAGAAAAATCTTAACAAGAGTTCCTGAGTGGGCTTTTTTTTAAATGTTAAAAATGTGCCCTCATCTTATCTGACAGGATGGTGCGTTCCATCTGCTGTCTAATACGGTGGAGTCTGGCAGGTTGAAATGTCCTTTTGATCCCTTGCAGCCGTTCACCTCAGTCCTTACAGGTAAGATGAAATAGTTAAAATTGCAGCATGCTTTAGTCGTCCTCTACCAGCCTTATCACTCGTGAGCCAGCATTTTATTGCTGCACAGCACCATATCCCCCCCCAAGAAATAAATATTTCTCTCCAGCTCACTTTGTGTAAATCTGTACTCGCGTATCTGTTTTCCGAGCCCTTTTCTCCCCCAATTATTTTGGTCGAGGAAGAGACGATCTGACATTTCTCAGGCAAAGTAAAGTTACTTGGCAGATAATTGTAAACAACAAGTGTTTTGACCCTTTCTTTCATATGTTGCTTATGCTAATTGAAATCCCACTCAGGCTGTGTTTACAGGTGCACCGAGGTTAGGACAGCTACGAAGCTGTTACAACAAATAAGAAAAATAGCTTGTCAGGGTTGCTTTGTGATATGTTTTTTCTAGTGAGTAGATACAGAAAAGGAGTGTAAAAAATTTGAAACAAAGAAAAACTGATGATGTGATCGCTTGAGTTCAGCTAAATCAGCGGGGCGATCTTTTGCCCAATTGCCCAACCATAGAGTTGTCACAGCTAGCACAATTTCATATAGATTAATCCAGCTTAAGCTATTTGTACTGAACAATTCTGACACCTGAAGCTAAACAAATTATCACAGTACTGGAAGAATTTCTGAAATCTGCCAACAAAGGAAATAAAAAAAAAAACATTCGACATAACAAACATGATGAATAACAGCCAGACTTGCTGCATTTAAGACATGGGATCACATCACAGTGCAAATAATTCTTACTGGTTGTTTTAAACTCTTTGTAGAGCCATAGAGTGGTGTTTTATCACACATAAGTTTAACTAGGTTAGGTTAGGTCATGGCAAGTTGGTGCATCTTCTAATCGACAACGCATCAGTGGCCGTTTGGTTGTTGTCAGTACAACCCAGCTAATGAGAAATCCAAACAAATCCGAAGAATTGTCTGCATATTTTGCTTGACCCGGTCAAGCAGATTCCCTAAATAGACCTACATGATGGTTTAGTGACATCAGAGCACTGCAGTGGGGTTTCGGACTTTGAGAAAGACAACAGTTTAAAAGCAATATTGAACAGGTTAGAGCAGGGGTCTCGAACTCCGGTCCTCGAGGGCCGCAATCCTGCAAGTTTTAGATGTTTCCCTCTTCCAACACACCTGATTCAAACAATCAGCTCAGCATCAAGCTCTGCAGAAGCCTGATAACGATCCTGATCATTTGAATCAGGTGTGTTGGAAGAAGGAAACATCTAAAACTTGCAGGATTGCGGCCCTCGAGGACCGGAGTTCGAGACCCCTGGGTTAGAGGCTGAACACAGTGTCTGCAGATTGTCCAAAGATGTCGCTGGATAAGTGGGGTGTATATATATATATATATAGCTATATTAATGTAATACATGTGCTAATTAATATCGTTACCCGTCTGTCTACAGATCAGTACCTGTATGCGGGCACATCCTCAGACTTCCTGGGCAAAGACACGACGTTCACACGCTCCCTCGGCCCTCCACCTGACCAGCACTACATACGCACAGACATCTCCGAAGACTACTGGATCAACGGTACACACACATGCTTTGCACACATCCACACTAACACGCTGAGTGCACTCAAAAGTTGTTATTGCTTTTTTTCACCAAACTTCCAGCCTCTCTGCTGATACAAAGAGCCCCTCTGTGCCCGCAGGATGGTTATTGGCATTCCTGAGGGAAGGAAACAGCCCACTTATTCATTTAGCTGGAACTTTTATATGAATGCCATAGCTGAACGGGAACCACACCTACTGGGGAATTTACAGTGCGCCGCAAAGTTCGCAGCCTTAAGTCACGCCGCCGCACAGGCGTGAGCATGCACAGTCATCGCCGAGGAGGAGGAGGAGGAGGCCTTCTGCGCATGAATCTGCAGCCTCGAGTGTTTTACGGCCACTGATGGGCTGTCGTGTATCAACAGTTGTCACTAGGATCTAAATCCTTACACATGGTCTCCACATTTCACAACCACACGGTCAGAGATGTTTGGAGTAGTCGTCTCTCTCTCTCCGTCTCTGTCTGTCTCTCGCTCTCCCAGTCGGTGCGTATAAACAGCGTGTTTTGGCGCAGGGAGAAAGAGCACCCTATTTCTTCCCTGTTCCTGTGAGCCTGTGGAACATCTTTTTAGTGCTGCATGACTAACAATGACCTTCTGTGGAGTGTGTTAGCAGCCGTACATTAAGCTGTTCCAGTTGGGGAATCACCCTCTGGTGGTTGGCTTCGACTTCTAGGGGTTGAGCTAATGTTGATGTAATGTCACTGCAACTTTTAAGCTTTTGGACCAGTTCCCCTCTGAATCGGGACACTGATGTGCTGTTGCTGCTTCTCCTCGCTGCTTTTTTCTTTCATCATGAATAGCTTTTGGTGCCCTTGTTCCAACACCCTATTCATTAACATATAATATTTATTATTGAGATAGTAGTGATATTAGCAATATGTGTTTGTATTTAACGACACTTTGGAGGCAAATGTTGCACTGTATGCTGCATTTCATATGTTTATTGTTCATTTATTGTCTAAAATAGGAGATTAAAATGTTGACTGCAAACAAAAGATCATGCATAATATGATATACAGATGTTTATAAGACTTTGGCACTTTTATTTTTCACTTTTCAAATTGGCAAAAGAATAAAAATAGAAATCCAGTCTCATATTTTGTATATATGTATACAGTTTTGGTGTGTGTTTAGTGTCTTACAGGTAATGTTTTGTAAATTTACTGCTTTTGGTTTGATGTCTCCACTCGCATTAGCATCGCGTCTAATCACAGCAGGCAACCATCACAGAAAAAAAGCTCTGATAAACACACTGTGTACAGCTTACCTAGGCAGATAAACAAAGCCAGAGACTATTTGGCGATTGCAGGAGCCTGTAGCGCCTGGAGACTGGCTCCACTTGCATTCATCAGGAGGCCAGACACATGACTCCAAATCTTTGATAGTGTCAGTGCATGTTTTTTGGGATGGAAGTTAGTTATGTGTCAATGTTTGCAGCTCGCTCTGCTGCCCCTGAAAGGCCAAACGAAACAGGTATGAGTACAGTTTTGAGTGCAGGTCTTTTACTCAAACGCCAGACGGGCTGAAACTCATGTAAAAGTAAACAAAACTGCTTTTAAAGTAATTTAGATTCTCTGGCAATCGCTGCCCACGTAGCAAACTGTAGGAGAAGTTAAAGTTGCTGTGCAGACCGGCTAAACTTGAGCTCAGTAAACAGAAACAGTAATAAGTCAGGCTTTGTGCAGAAACAGAGGAAGACTGTGTATAAACACAAGCTAACTGTAGCGTTAGTGCCACCTCGAGATCGCACGTCATGGCAAAACGATTATCTGATCTCTTTTTAACACACTTCCCTCTCTCTGTGTCTTCAGAGGCCAGGTTTATATCTGCTCACCCCATTGCAGACACCTACAATCCAGATGATGATAAGATATACTTCTTCTTCCGTGAGGTGTCGTGGGAGGGCAACGACAAGAGCATCCTCTCCCGAGTGGCTCGTGTATGCAAGGTGAGATATTGCACAAAAAGGAAGTGTGGAAAGTGGGAGGCGCAGAAGGGAGGGTATGACAAACGGGTGAACAGGTAGCAGAGAAGGAAAGGAATGGAAGAGACCACATGGATGTCAAAAAACCCGGGTGGTGCTTAGAGAAATGATGCGTGGAAGATGGCAATAACTCTATTCAGGACTTTTGGGGTCTTTTGGGCTCCAGGCCATTTGGTTTAGATCACAGGTGTTGGTTTTTTTGTTTTGAAAATTTCTTTTTTAATACAAAAAGAGGGACTTTTGTCGTGCATTTGGAACCAAAAATACATCAACTTATCAGAAAATGTATTTAACATAGTCTAAAAGTCGATAATGAATACCAACAAATATTTTGCACATATTCTTTCTTGGGGTCCAAAACACCTTATGGCAACATGAAAGTCCTGAATAGGGTTAAAGTAGGTATGGCTAGGTGGGACCAAGAGTTCCACCTCTTACACTGTATGAAGGATGATGAGGATGTTTGTGCTGGACACTAAAGAAGTTTTTATGTCCCCCCTGTATGAAGCCTTCCAAATTCATTAGTAGTTTGTAGCCATCTGAGTCCGTCAGGGGCAGTAAATCACGGTTTTACCCTCTCTGTGGTCCGCCAAGAGGCCAATCGTGGTTTTACTGCCTATTGTCAATGACGGTAACGTCTTTAAAAGACCTGTGTGCCACATCGTCATCGTTTTTGTTCCTCAAGCGATTTGCATGTGCTTTCTAGTAAAATAGTGATAAATGATATTTCGTAGCACCACCATGCACATCCCCAAAGACATTTGAAGAGATTTAATTAGCTCCGTATCGCTGGCGTGCGAGGCGCTATTACATTACATGACAGATGTTTTAGTCCGACGAGACTTTCAGCCTCTCGTGGACAAGAGCTAAAAGTCATTTTTCAGTTCTATCTGACAGCATGTCAAAACAGCTGTAAGCTCATGTGGGCACTGCACAGCTGACTGCAGACAGATTCATGATTAGGAACCTTCTGTGCACCACACAGTGTGCCATTAGTCATTCCCAATGGAACCGGCCGACACAGCAGTTTGCTATTAGCATTCAGAGATCTATTGCTACATTCTTAGAGAAAAGCTTTCAGGGTGTTTATGACTTAGGAGTAAGCTGTAAGGCAGACTGGAAGGAGATTCCTCTGGATTACAACCCTCTCTTTTTTTTTCTTTCTTCTCTCTCTCGCTCTCTTTTACTCTGTTTTTTCCTTCACTTTCATTATCTAAGTGTGTTTTCCCTCCACGTAAAAGGAATGAGGGCACTTCACATCAATCCTCTTTGAAGATTATCACCATTGTGAAACATCCTCATTAAGTGCTTACATTTTTTTTTTTGTGGTCTCTTAAACATAAGTGTGTTTTTGTGTGTGTTGAACCAGAACAGTCTTCTCTATCCCACTTGGTTAGTACACCGGCTTAACAAGGAGGGAGGGGTTCTCTTAAGTTTTTCCATGCATCACAAAGAGGCGCACTTGAACGCTCTCACCGTAGCTCAGTCAAAGGTCGCAGTTTAAAACAGCGATTCATATGCTAAGAGAAAACTTGCATTATTAATTAGCAGCCTCACTTGATTTAAGTGCTCATTTCCAACATGCTGCCGTTCCTCTTGTTTCTTTTCTCCTTTCATGATGATCCCTCTCCTCTCAGCATTTTTCTCTCTTTCTCTTCCTTTCCCCTTTCAATTACTCCCGACTGTAATTATATTAACAGGAAAGCTCTCCCCTGCGCTAGTTAAACAAGCCGATATATACTCGAGGCATGTGTTTCACCTGTTTATTTTCCTAATTAGCGAAGGAAATCTGAGTCAGGCTGTGATGCAGTGTGTTGTCTTTCTATGTGTGAGTCCATTAGATAGATTACAGTTGGACTGTGGTTAAGTGCAAAGTGTATATTATTAATTGCGGTCATCTTTTGGCCATGTCAGACAGCTGCGCTTTGCCGACTGCGGTTTGCTGAGCATGTGGTTGTGTTTCAGAATGATGTAGGTGGGCTGAGGAGTCTGACCAATAAATGGACAACCTTCCTCAAAGCCAGGCTTGTGTGCTCTATCCCTGGACCAGACGGTGTGGACACACACTTTGATGAGCTCCGTAAGTGACTGGGAGGAGGGGGGGGAGTAAAAATCTAAGCCATTAAGCTGAGTCTGATCTTCTAGAAATGACTGTAAGAGTGAGCACTTCATATAAAAGCACTGAATTTCACCAATCATAGTGCAGTGGTAGTAGGAGCCGATACTAGACTGCAATTCCTGCGAGGTATAAATACAGCTGAAGGTAGAGGTGCAGCTATTTCTTTTACACAGGTATAGATAATAACACAAAACAACATTTTAATTTCATCCTCTCTTTCCTGTAGAGGATGTCTTCCTGCTCCCTACCAGAGATGACAAAAACCCCATCGTGTATGCGGTCTTCACAACCTCCAGGTAAGTTCTTCACACCATCAACACCACACAACCCAGGAACAGTTTTTACCCCACAGCCATAATCACACTGACGGTGGAAGTGCAATATTTGAACATTGGACCGTCCCATTGTATTGGCCTGGGTACATTTGGTACTGATATGTGTGAATCAGTGATTGGATGTTGTTGGGTGAGTGATGTACATTGTTTAAGTTATTTATTCTCTTTTTTATGAGTCCGTATCCTGACTGTGCGCCTTAATTTTGTTATACATGCGTGTATAATGACAATAAAGTATCTTGAATCTTGAACCATCTGTGGTCTCTCCTTTTCTTTTGTAGCCATAACTTGGTCTTTTGTTTTGATTTTCCTTCCAGTTCCATTTTCCGTGGCTCAGCAGTGTGCGTGTACAGCATGGCAGACATAAGGTCTGTGTTTAACGGGCCTTACGCCCACAAGGAAGGGCCCGACCACCGATGGGTCGAATACGAAGGGAGGATACCGTATCCCCGTCCTGGAACGGTGCGTTGTCCACCACACAGAGGAGCACAGAAACAGAACAAAAAGCTAAAACACTTCATCACTCTTGGCTACAGATGATTTTGTTTTCACAAATGAGATAAAAATCCTTAATTTTCTTTGCAATTACCAAAAAGTAAACATGACCTCATTTAAAAATGTGCTTTTGTGGATTCAGAGGGTGAAATGTGCAAGATGCTGCAGGGCATGCTCACATCTGCACATGTAACCTCGTTATGTATGACACAGCCTTGACTTGGATGAGGTTAGTCGAGATGTTTATCAGATTCATTTTGTTTAAAAAATGTAATCAAGGCAGGGAGCGGGAGGTATGGAAGGTTTGGTGTAAACTTCAGGTGTGCAGCTGAGTGAGCTCTTGTGTATAAAGAGAGCGACGGCAAGGAGTGACACAGATGTTCCACATGTGGTTTGTTTCCTGCAGCTCCCAATTTGGCCACTAGACGGAGACACACACCAGTGAATTGTCAGGGCGAAACCACTTAACAGATGAGAAGTTGGACAGAAGTATAGGACTGTAATTACTGTCAGGGAGTAAAATTATCTTCAGCACAAGATCAATATTTTTTCTTGTGTTCCTCAGTGTCCGAGCAAGACGTATGATCCGAGGATCAAGACCACCAAAGACTTTCCAGATGAGGTTGTCAGCTTCATTCGATTCCACCCTCTGATGCATCGCTCTGTTTACCCTCTGACTGGCCGGCCGGTGTTCACACGTGTTCGAGTGGACTACACGCTGACTCACATTGTGGTCGACAGAGTTTTGGCAGATGATGGACAATATGAGGTCATGTTCCTGGGAACAGGTGAGACACACACACATCATCTCCTCCCTGTTATCTCTGCAGAGTCTACATGTGACCAGCAGAGGGCACTAGATGACTTCCAGTTGTTAACAGATTTTGCTGATGGTGGTTTGATCTTGTTTTTGGGAAAATGAAGGAGTGTAAAGTTGCACTTCAATCCCATATCCTGTGTGAGGTCTCAGCACTGAGTCGTACATTTTATCATGTGTTTTGTGACAGAAATTCTCAAGCAGTTAGATGGTTGGTTGGTGTTGGTGTCTTAAAGAAGAACATTTGGACTAAAAGTGATCTTCATTGGATCTTCTTCATCTCTAAAGCAAAACTACATGCCGTGGTTGACTTGATTTCATTCTTCCTTCTTCCTGTCCCCCTCTTCTTCATAGATGCTGGCTCCATTCTGAAGGTGGTGAGCATCACTCAAGAAAACTGGTCAACAGAGGAAGTGGTGCTTGAAGAGCTTCAAGTTTTCCAGGTTTGGTTCACAACCACAAAATACTCACATTCACTGATTTTCTGCTTCCTCATAGATACAAACTCTTCTGCTGCTGTTGGTGGGACAGCTGACCCACCATACAGCCAAATACCCATCATGCCTTTGTTACACAAACTCTGCAGCGCTGATAGATTGTCTGAGCTATTAATCAACAAACCCAGCTGTTGTTTTGTTTCAGACGGAGATCCAGCAATGTATGTTTGTTTAGGTGTTAAAGCTGACTGAGTTTGTTTTACTTTTTGCAGGTTTCCACTCCCATCCTCAGCCTGCAGATGTCTTCTAAACAGGTTCGTTCTCATTCTCCTGTATTCTGTACTCTGCATATCTTCTGTGCTCTCTGCCGTCATACATGCCTTCGGTCATGTCATGTGCACATACCTGATCAGGCACACGACATATAGTTTGTTTCCACCCTTCATTCAATCTGTCTTTCTGTCTTGGGCCTTCCCCATTTCCTTGCAGCTCTCTCACCCGTCTGCCTCATTATCTAAGGGTCAGGAGTGTCAGTAGACACTTCAACCCCAATCACAGCTTCCATTAATCTACAGCAGTATTTGACCTGCGTGTGTGTCTACGTGTCTGTTTGCTGGTGTGTTTTCGACGAATCACAGCAGATCAGTAAAGTTGTCTTTGTGAAAATTCTTACCCTCTCTTCCTAGAAATCCTGCTGTTAGTTTCAGGTGCCACTTTGACATTTTGACATTTTAAACGAATGCATATTGGATGGCTATTGCCTTGACCTTCGCTTATTCTTGAGCATAATTTCACAGTCGGAACTCAAGGAGGACATTGTGATGGATGAAGGCTGGAAAAAGTCACCAAGTTTTTAAATAACAAAGCATTTTCCAAAGTAATGAAAGTGTTTTTCGCTCTTGTCAGAACTAACTAATTAACTTATCTGGATGATGTACAGTTTTGTACCGTTTCTGCTGAACTGTGTATACGACATATTTTTATCTTTTTGCTCCTATAAGCAAATGAGTTTCAACCGTGTATGATAAAGTTGAACTTTAAATTGATTTCTATACTTATCTCTCCTCGTGTTTCACTTTAGCAACAGCTCTACGTGGGTTCAAGCGAAGGTCTGGCCCAGGTTTCACTGAGCAGATGTCACCTGTACGGCCAGGCCTGTTCTGAATGCTGCCTGGCACGAGACCCCTACTGCGCCTGGGACGGACACATGTGCTCACGATACGTCCCTGCATCTAAGAGGTATATAAAAAGCGTGTAGGAGCTGCACTTACACAGCACTTTGTCATCTTAACAGTTCTTGAAGTGTGTTCATTCACCCACGCACCAACAGCCAAGCCATGCGAGGCGCTTGCCAGCCAACAGGAGCGACTTGGGGTTCAGTGTCTTGCCCAAAGACATTCTGAAAAGAGGAGGTGGGGATTGAAACCCTGCAATTTGTGGACAACCCACTGCACCGCCTGAGCCACAGCCGCCTACAAGACACTTGTAGTCGTTTTGAAATATTTCAATGTGGCATCGCGTGATTTACAGCAATTAAGCGGAAAACACATATAATTCAAAAAACAACAACAAAAAAATACAACACAAACAGGGCCTTGTTGTGCCCTAGTTTTCAATTGTGTGTTTCTGTGTATGTGCTTCCGAGGCTGGCTCTTTATTCTCGGCCTGTCAGGAGTTCATAGTTCTTGCTAAATGTATGGTCTGTTTTGGTTTTCTTCACCTCTACAGCATTTTTCAATGCCAGAGGGTATTCTTTCTTTGCGGCAATGATAAGAGATGCTTGTTCTTCGGCTGATTAATGCAACTGTCATTCAACACCTCTGGAGTGCAGTCCTTGAGGTGCAAATGAATATGTGTGCTGTTGTTGTTGTTCTGTGCTTGTGTTTGTGTGCTTGGTAAGCTCCACAGAATCCATACCCTACAGCTAAGGGTCATACTGCCATATTATTGGCCGGTGGGGATGCTGTTATGTTTGTGCAATGGTGGAGGCCCTGCTTTTAGTCTGCAGGGCTCTTTGAAATCTCCACAGTGTCAGTGAATGTAAGCTACAGATGTCCCATCACACAGGACGAACAGGAAGAGGAGGAAGAAATCAATACAAACTGAAGGAGCCCAAGTGAGCGACACCAAATCAGAGGCCAAAGAAACTCGCTCTCTTTCTTTTTGTTTTTTTATTGTTCCTTCTGTAACATTTAAGTAGACATTTTAAGCGTTTCAGATGGAAAAAAGTTGATAAAGGCGAATAAATTCTGGAGTTAATTGATATTTATTGTAGGATTACAGGGCTTAGGAATGGAAAAAGTGACCTCAGAAGTTTTGTCGTCCATTTAGGTTCATACATGCGAGTTAAGCAGCAAAAGATCAGCAGTCAGAGGAAACCCTTAATCATATTTTTTGTGTGTTTTCACCCTTATTGGGTAGTTATAGTGGAGAAAGACAGGAAATGTGAGGAAGAAGAGCAGTGGAATGACATGTTAAAGGTTCGGGCCTGGGAATTAAACTGGGAGGTCGCTGCTTTAAAGGATTAGGGTCTGGGTGTTTGTGTGCGCCCTTAAATGTCATTTAAGTGATTGTAAGAAATTATTGCTGAAAATAATCATCAGACACATTCTTCACGTTTACCACAACAATTCTACTTTTTTAGTTTAGCACATGCAAATTTGACATTTGAGAAAACACACACTTGAGAAGCGTGAAAGGTGTTGCTTTTAATAGCTTTTTTGCTTGACTGACTTGTTAAATTAAACATTGAACACCGAAGAAAGCGTAGAAAACAGATTATAATGATATTTTCTATTAGAAAATGCTGACCTGTGCGTATTGTTTCAGTAAATGCAGGGTGTGAGTTAATGATGTTAATATTTAGTGTTAATATTTGATTTTTGATTACTTACAATTGTTTAAAATTTAAACTAGATGCAAAACAAAACAAAAAAAAAAATCATTGTTGCTTCTACCTCTGACTTTTTGGGCTAATATCGATTGTTTATGTTTGAGAACATTTGACAACTAATATTACTGAAGCCAAAATTCGTATTCCTAAAAAAAATCCTGAATTCCAACTTAAAAATCTTAATTTCTTAGCAACAATTTATTAACTTAATAGTTAATGTGTCTGTTATTGAGGTTATGAATACAGATTACCTTGTTAAGATCACTATGAACATTCAGTACCGTATATATCTTATGTGTTCAGTAACATGTTTTTTGACATTTAAGCACCTGAAATAAGTATTTAAAAATAGTCTCAAAACACTGGACATGAATGTGTACGTCCTATTATTTTTAATTGTTGTGTGTTTGCTTTCCAGGCGTGCCAGAAGACAGGACATCAAGAATGGAGATCCTGCCATTCAGTGCTGGGACACAGAAGACAGTATGTAGAGTCTGTTGTCTTACAAGATTCATCCTGTGTCTGTCTTTCTAAGAAAGTCTTTCATTTTGCTTTGAAAGCTGCAAATGCACATCCAGCGAACAATGCTGTGCAAAAAAAAAAAAATTACATTAAGAATTTGATATTCTTGTTCATCATGCAGTAATCAGTTGGGTGGCTGATCTGTCCTGAATTCAATCTGCAGCATGACAATGAGCCCAAGCTTACAGTCAGAGTCATAAAGAACCAAAGCCGAGTGACAAATGAAAGGAAAAACCAACACAAAGGGTTTGAATATGGTTTTGGGTCATTTTGTGCTGCTGATGCAGCTTCAATATGATTCCTTTAGTCTCTGTGACTCTACTGGAGGGATGAGCACCAGGCTTCCAAAAGATATTCCCTCATTTGGTGTTTTAATGATGGAGGTGGAGGCATGTCTGTTCAAACAGTGTTCAGTTATTTTGAGATCTGGTGAAGGCCATAGAATGTGATTAACACCATTTTCATACTCATCACATCAGGGACTCCTCGGGCCCTATGGATGGGGGCACAGCCATTCTCTTCCAGGATACCATTACCACGACTACCATAGAAATGTCTGATCACAAGATAAAGATGATCACTGAGAACAACTTCACACTGATTTGCAGTGACCCTTTTCTCTAAGTGGACCTGAATCATACCAGCAGAATGCCCCCTACAACACAACAGGGCCACCAGATTCCTGTAA